AGACATTATGTTCATACATGTGTGTATATATAAGCTTCTTACATGTTCAAAATACAAATTACCTCAAAACACAACTTCCATGAGTGTTCACTTGCTTTTATTATCATATGATGTTAACAGATAAAGAACAGTAAAGTACATAATCAGAACTATTGCTATTGCAGGTAGTTACTCAGCAAAATACTGTCTGATCAGAAGAACCAATGAATAAAGTTGGGGTTAGGGAGATGCAATGTTGCTCAAAAAGTTAAACCGTTGTTCATACACTACACTAAAATGCCTTGAGTAGGATCGACTTCCATCATTGCTTGAAAACGTGGGCAATTTTTTCAAGCAATACACCTAGTACATGTATTTTTTGTGAAACGTAACGTAGTGGGCAATGTTAACCTACAACTTGGAGACTTCCATCTAGCCTGCTTCAAACACTATGGAAACAGAAGGTCTAACAATAGTTGGTCCATGTTAGTAATCTCCAAGCAGATCCCTTTCGGTTGCAAAAAGACAGTATCAAATTGGCCAGGCAGTACCCATTAGCCAGAGAAGGTCCGCTGCCACCGACGGTGGGGGTAGCGACAAAAAAGACGGCCATATATAAACAGCTAACGATCATTCCCCCACAACCTCTGCTTGGAGAGCAGGTAATACTGTAGACGTTAGAGTAGATGTTAGCTAGACATGTAGTACTGAAGAGTTGTTACCGGTAGCACAAAATTAATGCATAAATCAACAGTACTAAAGATGTTCCCAACTCTCCTGACTTAGAGGTGTTGGCCATCAAGCTTCCAAGGGCACGACTACAATGGTTACCATCCGGATTTCCACTCCACATCATAACTTTTTCCACTATCATGAAAGTTCATCTGTGTTGGTAGTTACATGTTCCCCCCTAAAGTGCCCCATCAGGGGCTATATGGGGGTGTAGCCGGGGCTCACATAACATCTTTGAGCCCCGGCAAAGATGAATGAAGATGAAGACATGTTTAAAGTTTAAACTTTTGATCCAACACAAAGAAATCTCTCACCTAGAGCTTTCGACCAGTCACTCTGGTCTTCCTCAGTAGACTGACCCAGTGAAGCTTGTCACCCAGTGC